ATTCAAAAACACTCTACCATTTCTTACTGTCTACCTTAAGTAATAAAGGATAATGCCTGTGGTCATTGCACCAAAATGCGTTGAGGATATTCCATCTATAAGGTAAGATCCGAACGTTGTTGAAAAACTTGCCAGCAACTAAGAAGAATCAGTTAAGGGTTAGGAGTTGAGCGCTTGAACCCACAACACCTCAACTCCGACGACCTTTCGTCGTCTGCAGCCAGTTGTGGGAAGGCAGTAACCCATAATACTTAGAAATCATTTTAATATAGAATTAGACCAACCCGATAAAAATTTGATACAAAATTCTACAAAGTAAAACACCCAACCTCCCCCTTTTATTTGATGTTAACCAAAATAAGAGACCCTATGCGGTGGAGAATATTTCTTCCATAAGATTTTATTAACTGTATTTAATGTAAGACGTAAGTCTTATAATAATTAATAATGACAATTCTGGGATTTTAGAATATTGATAGCTCATAAAAATGATTCTGTATTTGTTGCTCACTGTAACTATAATAACTGTTCCAGTTCCACCAACGCAAGTTACGATAAAAGGACCTAAAGAGGGGAAACGGGGCGATAATGTAACCCTGAGTTGTGTAGCAGGACCCAGCAATCCAGCAGCTAAGTTGTCATGGATTGTCGATGGAAGACCTGTAATTTCCCCCGAAGTTTCCACCGAGACTTCAGACGGAGGCTGGATAACCACATCTAGGATACTCATTAGGTTGGCATGGCAGGTAATATAAACACAGTCTAAACATAATGATTTGTAAATAAGCTGAACAATAAAATTCTAAAGAGCATCGCCTACTTTCTCAGGTTTATGTACTTTTTAATATACGGTGAAAAATAACCAAGCTGAACAATTGTATTACACAACTAGAAGAACAGTCTTCTTGGAATTAACACAACTTTAGATATTTAATTCTAATTTGAATAAAATAAATATGTATCATATAGCAAAATATCCTGATATATATTTTGTATGTGCATAATCATATAGAACATTTTTGTATTAAGTATGCACTGTTACGTTGTTAAGACTAATTTATGGTTTCAGTACTTTCAGTTTGCGTAATCACAGTAAACAAAGTGCCTAAGTCTTGAATTAACTTTCATGTCATATTTCAAATTATTCTTTGCTTTCTTAATCATATATTCAACAGTATAATGCCAAATAATGTTCCTTTCTATTGGATGGAAGTGAATACAGGTTATCCTCACTATCTTAGTCAAAGTTTATATCCACTTATTATTAACTGGGAAATTCAATAGTTTATTAGCATTGTGTACTTATACCTCAGAGAGTAAAAAAATTCAGCCTTTCATTCCCGGTGTTTACAATGCTTAGATTAGGCTAGAAGGTGTGATAAAACGTAGTAGTAATAAGGTTCAGATGATTCTTAAAGGTTTAAGCCCAAACGTTCACAAATAATTTTCCTGTTTCATTTCTTTGTTGTACGGAATTGGCAATAGACTGTTTCGTTCCTCAGAAAAGCTCGTAAATTAACTTAACTACAGGAAAATAAAAGTGAGTTTTATTACCATGTATAAGAATCAGGCGGTAGTTGAAGTACTGAAGTATGGAATAGCTATACAATTGGTAGCTTGTCATAGATCTCAGTAGGGAAAACTTGAGAAAACATTAGTTTCAAGGGTGTTTATACAGAGTCTAAAACTCCAAAATGAAAGCACAACATTTCCATTTAGCCGAAAGCTGATAAAGATCATAATAAAGATTAAGACAATAAATCATCTAAAATCATGTGGTTTCTACTATAACAGTTAGCCATACTTAGTGACTTGTAGGGAAAAAAACAACACACGCACTCACATTTCGACAAGATAGATATATCAGTTAAGCAAATGATTAATTCGAGACATGAATGGTATGGTTTTTGTTAGTTTATATTAAATTGTAAAATCTAAGTTATCCAAAAACTGTACTTGTTTACTTTACAGCACTTTCTAAGTTTTTCGACTATCAAGAGAGATGACTTATAACATTTAGGTATGATATGTAAATGTGGGCGCACACATACTCAGTGCTGATATTTTTACTAGTATTTCATTTCATGATTCTAAATTATATTTATTTGAATCTTGTTTCATAAACAGTAATATTCATCATTGAAATGACAGTAAAATATTTATCAGGATTATGATCTAAAACCGTTTTACTGGAGAAATATTTGTTTATACAATCCATTCTTGATGTTGTTGTTTTTCTGCGAAAGAGGGCTTGATGCTTTCCATCTAACTATATATCTGATTTTTTCCTTTCCTTTTGTTTCGCAGACTGTACTACATTTATTAGATCACACTTAAAGGAGATTTTGCAGTCATGCAGATTGTTTAAGACAGGTTTTATTCAGTCTTCTTCTTCTTAACGACCTTAATCCCAACTAGTTTAGAGTCAACTGGTATTTTTTTTTGTACGCCAAGAATTTTTACAGCCAGTTAGCCGGTCCAGAAGACAACCATCTAGTACGAGCATTTTGGATAATGAGGATTCGAACTCTCGATCCTAATATTATGAGTTAAGTGCCCCTAACCAGCAGGCCATTCCAGGCCCACATTGCTTATTAAGTAATGGCAGGTAATGTTATTACAAAGCATTATAATTATAGATATTGGTGCTATCCCACACCCTACAAGATTTTAAAAGTTCAGAAAACAGCTATAATTGAATAGAAAAAAAAAATTATGAATAACGTTTCGCCACTGTTAACGTGCCATCACATTAAAAGTGGCGAAACGTTGTTTTTAATTGATATATATTTTCTATTTCATTTTAGTTGTTTTCTGAACTTTTATAATTATAAATCATGGAAATTTACAAGATCGGAACACAACAGAAACATACGTGAAGACGAATATACAAACAAGTTTTATTTTTATAAAGTAAATTTTTATCCTTTACAATCAAATAAAAAATTCTATATAACATTTTATATGGAACTTGTATAAATGAAGTTAACTACATTTTGTATACATATGTATAATTTTTCCTCAGGAAATCAAAAAGATATCACTGTCCTGTTACGCCATCAATGAAGCTATTGGAAACAGTGTTTCACAGACGACTTTGCTCAATATAATATGTATGTAAGACAATATTCATGTAACTTATTTTATTTTCATTAAATAAGTTATTACAATCAAGAAGGGAAAGTTTTTACTAAGTTCATTCACTCCATATATAGTTGTAGCCAACTTTTTGAACTTATTAATGCTTCAATATTTATTTTTAGACTACATGCTTGTATTTTCTTTAAATATCATCTAAGATATGTTAATACAGATATCATGCTTTACTTTCTTTAATAGTTAATATATAACTGTTATGAATATATGCTTATATATATATAACTATTATCAACATATGCTTATACATATGTATATATAACTATTATCAATATATGCTTATACATATATATATAACTATTTTTAATATATGGTTATATATATATATATATATAAC